GGGACCGTTTCTATCGCGGCCTCTCTTGCAGTCTGCAGAAGGAGTTATATACAGGGAACTACCAGATATTTGGTGTTATGATGAACGCTGCTATTGCCATGGAAGGACTGTAGTGTGACTCTCAGGCCAAGTGGAAGCGCAAGCGGGTGGGTACTGGGTCTTGTAGTCACCCCAAGCTCAGAAGGTATAGGTTGTCAGGCGGGTGCCCTATTAGTCTTCGAGTGGGCATTTGTTTCAACAGCCTCAGCAGACCTATCAGGCACCTTCCACCTAGTACCGTGCACCTACTCAACAGGTGCAACAACAGTAGCCCTAGGGACAATAGGTCCCACCTCATCAAGGACAGGGGAACAAGCCTGGTGCTTCTTTCAAGTGTGGCAACGAAGGTCACTATGCTCGGGAGTGTCCACAGAACCAGCCTGCATAGTCTGCTCAGCCCTCAGCTAACTCCCATCTGATCAAGAGGACTATTATCAAGAAGAAGGTACCAGTAAGCCGTTCTGGGCAAGTTAATTTCACAGAGGCTGAGGAGATCTTGCAAAATGAACCGATGATGGCTGGTATGTTTACCATTGATTCCCATCCAGCATATGTGTTGTTTGATTCTGGTGCATCACATTCATTCATGAGCATGGGATTTGCACACAGACACAATATACCTCTTATGGCTATACCTTTTGCCTATAGAATCAGTACTCTAGGTGCACAGTTGTGCGTTAATACTCGGACGGACACAGTTGGATAAGTGTTAGCCACTCACACTTACCGTCTCTAGTTCATGGTGTTGCCTGGGCAAGGCATTGATGTAATTCTAGGAATGAACTGGTTGCGTGTTTATGGGGTAGTCTTGGATCTGAAGCAGAGAGTTGTTGAGTTACGACTTCCTTTTTCTCAGGATAGGATGTCTCTTCTTATGCCCTCAGATCAAGCCTTACCTATTGCTGCTCATGTTGAAGCTTCTCCTGATCATGCCTCTATTCCTGTGGTATGTGAGTTTCTAGATGTCTTTCCAAAAAATCTACCTAGATTGCTACCGGATAGAGATATGGAGTTCTCCATTGAGTTAGAACCTAGTACTGCTCCTATCTCCCAGCGCCCGTACCACATGGCTCCGAAGGAATTGGCCAAAATGAAAAAGCAGTTAGAGGAGTTATTGGAAAAGGGATTCATCCATCCTAGCTCTTCACCATGGGGTTGTCTAGCTATTTTTGTGAAGAAGGATGGCACTCTTTGGATGTGTGTGGATTACCACCCTCTCAATGCGGTAACCATTAAGAACAAGTATCATTTATCTCGTATAGATACTTTGTTCGATCAACTAGCTGGTGCCAAGGTGTTCTCCAAGATTGATCTCCGTTCAAGCTATCATCAAATCAAGATTAGACCACAAGATATACCAAAGATAGCTTTTTCTACTAGGTATGGGTTGTATGAATACCTAGTCATGTCTTTTTGTCTTACCAATGCTCCTGCATTCTTCATGTATCTCATGAATTCAGTCTTTATGCCGGAGTTGGACAAGTTTGTAGTGGTATTCATTGATGATATCTTGATATACTCCAAGAACAAGGAAGAGCATGCCCAATATCTTCGAATAGTACTGATTCAATTAACAGAACACAAGCTGTATGCCAAATTCAGCAAGTGTGAGTTTTGGTTAGATCAAGTGCAGTTTTTGGGACATGTTCTCACACCTGAAGGTATCTCTGTAGATCCAAGCAAGGTGCAGGATGTGTTAAATTGGAAGTCTCCCAAGTCAGTGCATCAGATTCTTCAATTCCTTGGTCTTGCTAGATATTATCGATGCTTTATTCCTGATTTCTCTAAAATAGCTCTGCCAATGACCAAGCTGCTCCAGAAATGTGCCAAGTTTGTTTGGAGCCTGGCTTGTGAAGAATCTTTCCAAGCTTTGAAGAAATTTCTTACCACTGCTCATGTTCTTGTCCAACCAGATATTGATAGACCTTTTGATGTATATTGTGATGCCTCGAAGACGGGGTTGGGATGTGTGCTTATGCAAGATGGGCATGTGATAGCTTATGCTTCACGTTAACTGAAAAAGCACTAGGTGAATTATCCCACTCATGATTTAGAGTTGGCCACTGTGGTGCACGCTCTAAAAATTTGGAGGCATTATTTGTTGGGAAATAAAGTATACATTTTTATGGATCACAAGAGCCTTAAATATATTTTCACTCAACCCGAGTTAAATATGAGGCAAAGGAGATGGTTGGAATTAATCAAGGATTATAACTTGGAGGTTCATTATCACCCTAGAAAAGCTAATGTGGTAGCTGATGCTTTGAGCTAGAAGTCATATCAGGTTGAAGAAACACATTTGTCTCTCAACCATGCTGAGGTGCTAGCTCACATTGCCTTAGTCTCAGATTTACTTGAGCAGATTATTATGGAGCAAAGGCAAGACACTTTAGAAATTCCTCACATCATGAAATTAATTGCCAAAGGGCGTGGTCCTCAGTTTAGTATTGATGAGCAAGGAGTAGTGAGATTCAAGAACAGATTGGTGGTTCCATCAAATGAGGAGCTTAGAATAAAGATTTTGGATGAAGCTCATCATCCCAAGTTGTCCATCCATCCTGGCAGTAACAAGATGTACCATGATTTGCGCCACTTGTATTGGTGGTCCAATATGAAGCAGGATATCACCAAGTACGTCGTGGAGTGCGACACTTGTGGGAGAGTTAAGGCAGACCATATGCGTACCCTGGGATATTTGTAGCCTTTGCCTATCCCTGTTTGGAAATGAGAAGATATTTCTATGGATTTCATTATGGGTTTACCGCGCACATTCAAAGGCTATAACTCTATTTGGGTCATTGTGGATCGCCTTACCAAGTCCGCTCATTTTCTCTCAGTGGATACCAGACATTCAAGTAGAAAGTATGCCAAGTTGTATTTTGACCGGATTGTGACCCTACATGGAGTTCCTCTTACTATGGTCTCTGATAGAGCGTCAATCTTTGTCTCTCGCTTTTGGGAGCAACTTCAGGAATGTCTTGGTACTAGTCTCCTCAGAAGTTCAGCTTATCATCCACAAACTGATGGCCAAACAGAAAGGGTAAATTAGGTACTTGAGGACATGTTGAGAGCTTGTGTCATCTCTTTTCCTAAGAAGTGGGATGAATGCTTGAACTTTGCTGAGTTTTCTTACAACAATAGCTATCAGGAAAGCATTCGTATGGCACCCTTTGAAGCTCTATATGGAAAGAAATGTAGGACACCACTTAACTGGGTTGAAGTGGGAGACCATGGATATTTTGGGCCTGATTTCATCAAAGAAGCTCGAGAGCAAGTCAGTATAATTCAGAGTCATTTGAAGGCAGCTCAGAGACGATAGAAAGCTTATGCGGACAAGCGAAGAAGGCATTTGTAGTTTGCAGTTGGGGATCATGTGTACCTCAAGGTGTCTAATATGAGAGGGGTGCATCGGTTTGGTGCTGTGGCAAGCTAGCCCCTCAATATCTGGGCCATTACAAGGTTTTAGAGCAGTGTAGCCCAGTTGCTTATCGTCTCCAACTTCCAGATATTTTATCGGTGGTGCACAATGTGTTTGACGTATCACAGTTGAAGAAATGTTTGCGGGTCCCTGATGGAGCTATGGAAATTGAAGGACTTCCCCTCTAGCCTGACTTATCATATATTGAGCATCCTGTCAAGATCTTAGATGAAAAGGAAAGAGTGACTAGAAACAATGTGGTGAAGTTCTACAAAGTTCAGTGGCAAAACCATTTGGAGGATGAAGCAACGTGGGAGCAAGAAAGTTATATCTTGAAGCATTACCCCCACCTTCTTTCTGGTTCATCGAGGTAGTTGTTTACATTGAAATGTATTCCTTATCTCTTTTCCCACACTCGGGATGAGATTTTGTTTATGGGGGGTAGATTTATAACACCCTCGGTGTGACACTGTAAATCTTTAGCTAAAACATGTCATGAGCATCATGTTTATGTGTTAATGCATATAATATAGTGTGTAGATCAAATTCTGTAACTCGAAACGATCAACGGAAATGCATAACGAAAGTTAAATTCCGTTGCCATGTTATATCACTTAGGGTTTAAAACCAATTTTTATTAAGCAAAAATGCTATAGAACGTGTATGCGCTACTTGAATAAAGTTTGAAGTACAAACTTTGTAGATGACGATGAAATACCTATGGTCGAAAAATGAATTCACTAGCTAACATACCTAATAGCTTGGAAATCGAATTTGTTGCGAATCCGATCAAGACAGTCAAATTTCTAAGGCTGAAAAATGGTTTAACAAAGCTATGTTTGGCAATTTTTGTAGAGTAAATGGGTTAAGGAGTGGCGTGGTTTTATGGCTTGTTTTAGTTGCCTAATATGCCCTCTTAAGTATAGAAAAGGTGGTTTGGCGATGGGGTCAACGGTTTAGTCGTAGTTGACGCTTTAAAAAGCGTGCTTGGCACGTTTTGGGTCGGGTTACTCACGTTGGCGCGGTCACCGTGCTCCTGTGCCATTGTTGGCACACCGGCCTCGTGTGTGCGCGTGTCTGGTCGCGCTTGGCTGGTGACTGGGTCCGACAGCCCGGGCGTGCGGCCGCTCATCCTCACTGCCGTGATGCGCGTTGTCGCTGGCACCGCTGCTCACTACTACAGAATCATTTTAGGGGTGGCTCATAACCCTTTGTAGGGGCAGTTTTACCAGCCGCCCCTACGAAGGGGTGGCTACAAATCACTGATTTGTAGGGGCGGTTGGTAACACTATCCGCGCCTACAAAATCGATTTGTAGGGGCGGCTATAGTACCAGCCGCCCCTACAAAACGATTTGTAGGGGTGGCTACAGTACCAACCGCCCCTACACTGCATTTTTCCGCAAAAAAATCAAATTTCATTTCATTTAGGGGCAGAGATGGCTGAATGTGCTAGATGACTGAATGTGCATTTCATCATTTCATTTCATTTAGGGACAGAGAGAACAAAACAAAAATAGGAGGGGAGATATATTTTTCTTTTTGCTAGCTCTCTAGGCCTCTAATCTTCTCAAAGCAGCTCTCTACGGACTGGATGATCTCTGCCGTGATATGATCTCCAGCAGCCACCTTGTATTGTTCAAATTTTGCTTCATCACACTCCAGTGCAGCTTCTTGGAAGCCCTGATGCTTCCTGGAAAAAGTGAATGCAATTATGATTGATGAGCTAAACTGTGGTAGTTGGGCAATAAAAAGAAGAGTGGCCCTTTTCTTAAGGACTACAAATTAGTATTACAAACATGGCAATAGTGCTACACCCTCTATTTCAGACATAGCATATATCTAGATGCATAGATACATAGTTTTACTATGAAGCTGGCCATCCTAATTGACACATAGCAATACTTTAAGCAGGAAAATAACTGACAGAACTAAGAGAGTACATTATATTTTGAGTTCTGAAGGAGAAATGTGGTTCCAAAAAGGTTAACAATATATGAGGAAAACAGAATGAATTTGACAAACCTATAGCTTTCTATAGCTGTAGCTCCTATGTTCCTTCATCAGAGATGGCAAAAATGTTGCACCGAAAGTTTAGAAATTACTCAAACAAAACAGCAAAACAGCCCACATGAAGATTATTCAAACTTGTGAACCTTGACAGTGATGTGAGATGGGCATATTGAATCCTTTCTAAATCAAAATCCTACCGTCAAATTCTTACTCTAAGTTAGAAGACAAAATCAACTACAGAAATAGGTTATTTTTGGAAGGTCTAGAGTGCACCAAATCAAGTGCCAGTCTATTGGAAAACAACCAAGTAAAAAGGCAATGGAACAAGATTGTTTTGTATCGTTAGCCAGAGTCTGAGCCACTTACCACTCATGTCAAGCAAGTTGAATGAAACAGGGATCTTCCCAATGCACCTCACCATTGTCATAGCAGCCCAAACTTTCTGGTGGTCTTCACGTGACACACGGACAATGCAGAGCTTTGTTACAGGATTAACATACTTAACTGAAAATTTGCAGAGCTTATAAGTACTTTTATATTAAGAAGCCTGTAATAAACACAGTGCAGCAAACACTGATATAATATTTAAAAGGTTTCAGAAGTAATTGCTAGTAGTACCTTGCAATGATCCAAGAGATCCAACTAGGCCACACTCCCCAAAGTTGAGCTGAATGTTGTCTCTTATAACTTTTGTTATATTAAATTGGGTGAGGATTACAGGGTCCTGTTCACCTCTTGCTGCATCTTATTCTACCTCCACCACCATGTACCTATTCTTGAAATGAACCATGGTGACTATACACTTCCTTAACTGTAGAGCTCCTGCATCCAGATGAAAGACCAGTCAATACTTTTAAGAAATGTAAGTAACCGAAGCAACATCTTATTGTCTAAATCCCATAAGATTGTGGCCCTCAAGCAAGCACTCAAGTGCTAACAAAACAAAAAATAGAGGTAGTATGTGTAGTACAAGTAGATATGTCTAACCTATAATAAATTGGCAAAGAGGGTCAGAAGTTTCTTCTCATTTCAACAAGAACTAATAATTCAAACATTGAAATAAGCCCGGAGATGCAGCAAGTGCAGGTCGACCACTCCCATTAGGAAAAATAGCTCACACAGCAAACTTATCTTCTCCTGCCGTAACTGTGATACAAACCACCAGAACCTGCAATGTGGTGCCGTTGTCGACCACCTCCCCGTGTTGAACCATCCTAGTTGGCTCGGCCACCTGATCTGATACTGCTGGTATTGGTAGCTCCTTGACCCCAGTTCCCCATTTGTGATGCTCCATTCAGTTCTTCCTCCTCCCTTTCATTGTATTCGAGGATCCTCCGCTTGATAATTTGCTTCTCCTCAAGCTCAGCAGCTTCTTGCTGCTTCATGCTTTGCACAATTTCATCTTATGGTGACTACAATAGAAAAAGAAAAAAGAATAGACTCCAACAAATATTAAAAAAATGTTCCTTTTTCCTTTATTTATGCAGTCAGCTAAAGGAACTAACCTCATCTACCACTACGACAGCAAAGTCATCATGATATCGGCTGAGACTAGCAGTGAGAAGAGCAATCAGATGAACTTGGCTATACTTTCCTTTGCGAACCTTTAGAAAGCACTTCAGAAGGTAAAAATCATTACAAAAGCCAATAGCAAAGAGGTAACAATCGAAGCAAAAGCCCAAAAGCTGCAGCTCAAACAAATATAGAAATAGAGGACAAACTTTCTATTAAAAACTTTGCCCAATCCCACCAGTGGCTACCCCACAAACAAGTGAATCAAACATTCCAGGAAGCCAGCAGCAGCTGGTTACCATAGCTATGTGGCAGAACCGCCTAATCTAATGCTTCACAGGAGTGCTCGTCTTCCATTAGACACTAAGCACTCGAGGGAGAACACTAAATTACTCGGTTCCGTCGGGCACACCCCAGGGGAGAACCCGAAAATCCACATTTTTGCCATCAGGATCACAAATGAGAGAATAAAACTTACATCGTTCTGAACCATTTCTTACATCACTTTTAGTACAACATCAGAGTATAATAATTATTAACATAACAGCGGAATGAAATCATTTTATTAGAGTTATAAACAATTTAATTGAACAGCGAAATATAAACATGTGATCAAAACTATAGTGGAAATAAATAGATATCCATGGCATGATGAAGCATTGGTATATAAGTTATGACAACAGATTATAAAGCTTTCATTTATAAAAACATTTGGTGAGAGTTGTAAATAAAGACTACGATCGCAGCGTAAAGGAAATCCTCTCTGAGCCCACCAGGAGGAATCCACACACAAAGGTCAGCTTTAGCCTCCACCTGTCACCTGCAATAGGGGGAATAAAACCCTGAGTACTCAATTGTACTCAGCAAGACTTACCCGACAGGAGAAAAGAAAAGACTCCAAGGATATGCAAGGCTATCTGGCTTGTGGGTTGCATTTGCAGGAAGCATTACTAAGCGTGCGTCCTTATATTTGATTTTTATTAATAGCCGCATTGGTTCATTAACTAACCATTCTATGTAAGCACCTGAGCTACTTTCAAGCAGGTGGTAAGCAATCAGATTTTCTCTTTCCATCTTCCATCTTTCATCTTCAGTTCTTACTATGATGCTAAACCGTAGACAAGCCGTACCGGATCGCCTGATGATTCACGAATCAATGCCCCTAGCTGGGTACCCCGAAAACACACGCCCCGCTTGTACCCTAGGCACAAGTAGGACCAACCCATCACTCTCCTGTCCCGGGTGTCCAGGTCCCCATCCAAACTGGGACTCCAAGCCCCCGCCCCTGAGTCCCGGACTCAGTGCGGTGCAAGGACCTCATCCACCAAAATAAAACCCTGACAGTCGGTCCGAAAAGAGCCGGATCCACGACAAGAGAGCAACAAGTTTTCCAAGCGCCCATACACAAGTATGTGCTTGGGATAATAAGTCTGTGACCTGCCTAGAGTCATATGCAACGATCGGTCCTTAATCAACACAGACAGGGAAAGTGGTGTAACCAAGCCATGCCCCGCGTCCACGATGACACAACCTCTTACACCCACCAATACCCAAACCATATCCCTGCCCGGTCACTATTTTTCCTTTCCACCATTTTTATATTTTCCAAGTGATGATAATCCAATAATATATTTCCTATATCTCGCGAGTGACAGGCAATCACTCGACTTCTACCGGAGTCCTGTAGCATAGCAATCTACACGATCCTGTCATACTAGTAAGACTCATAGGATAAAGATATATATGCAAGTGGGTTTCATTCAACTCCTTAAAACTTAATGCCCAAATATAATTTAAACTGCAGAAAAAGTAGGGGTTATGCACCGGGGCTTGCCTAGGTAAGATATATTTAAAAGTTAGTAGCTGCATCTTTAGATCATCCACACTCATCTGAATAGAAAGCTCATTGCATCATCTTCAGATTCCCAATGATCCTTCGATCGATGCGTTGATCCATCATCGTACCTATATGATATGCATGCGATGCAATGCAAAGATGTAATTAATCAGCTGCAACCGTGACTCATAAAATACGACGTACGCCTCTCGAGTTAACGGGCTAGTTCTAACGACGACCGTACTTATGCTACATACATTCGTTGTCGGATAAGACGCTATTTCCCAACAATTATTTTCGTTACATAAACCCAAGTTGTTTACTTATTTTATTCCGTCGATTTAATCGTTATTCGAATTAGAGCATCATTATCTACCTAGCAACTAATTATTATTGAGCTATAAAAAGTACAGTGAGTAGATAATAATATTAGTAGTTTACTGTCAAATTTTTAGACCCAACACTATTACCGATTTATCCCGAAAATTCCTACAAGTTCACATTTTAACAATATTAAGCATTTTAAAATAATTATATAGCTCCCAAAAATACTGCCAAACTTTGTGAACAAAATACACTAACAGATAGAGCATGATTTTAGGAGACTAACAAAACCGGTTTCATAATTTTTGGACTCCTATACCATTTTATATCGATTTTACCAGTTAAACTTAGAAACCAATTTTTGGAAAAACGTTTCAACACTGGTACTGCCGGAAGCCACGAACTGGCCCATCAGGGCACGGTGCGCGAGCAGCCCAGCAAGCCACACACGGGCGCGCGGCCCAGAAGACACTAGGCCGGCCCAGGCGGGCAAACGGCACGGCAGCGGCCCAGACGGGGGCGCGCGTGGCCCATCGCGGGGATGGGCGCGAGCGGCCTAGCGCGACATGGCCCAACAGGCACACGCGCGGCCCAGACGGCAGTGGCGACGGAAATATTGCGAAACGGCCCCTTGCACTTTCCCTAATCGCGCCGAGATCCACGAGCACTATTCAAACAAGTCATGTATTTGCAGTAAAAACCCTGTATAAAATATCTTCATGGATCCATGCCCTTCTCACCTTGTCTTTAATCACAGAACAAAGCACCAGGGGAGACATGGCGGCCGGCGGACGCTGCAGCTACGGCCCAGCTCAGACCCGCGGGCGGGGCTCCAGTCACGGCGGCTGCGGCAGCAGCGCAGGACCATGGGGCACGGCAGCGCGGCCCAGTTGCGCGCTACGGGCAACGGACCAGCGCGGGCCGAGGTAGGCACGACGATGATGGCTGACCATGGCGGGCGCTTGGGCGCGGTCAGCAGCGAAAAAGGGAAGGAACGGAGAGCCACGCGTGGCCAAGGAACTCGCGCACGCGCGCGCACATGATGGCCACGGTCGGAGCAGCAGGGCCCAACGCGGACCCGAGGAGCGCGGGCGCGCTCGCTCGCGGGGACGAACCTGCGTTGGCGGGACACTGCAGCTCGACAGAAGGGCGCCCAGAGCAGCAGGTGCGCTCGCTCCCGGGGACGGCCAACACCGGCAGCGGCGGCATAGCACCGGCCACGGGCAGCAGGCGGGCCGCGCGGATGACGGCAAGGCGACGATGATATGGCCCGAGATGGTGGCGCGGGGAGAAACAGGGGCGTCGGTGCTGGCAATGGCCGGCCACGCACACGGTGACTCTGGCGTGCCACGGCGCTGCAGCGGCCACGGCGAGACACTGCGGGCCGAGGAACACGCGGAGCAGCGAAGCCGCGCATGGGCTCGGGTGATGCGGTGGAGTGTGCTCGCGCGCACGGTGGCGGTGGTGGAATCAATCACGGCAGCGTGGAGGAGCGAGGCGAGGTACGGCCACACGCGGGGTGACGGCTCGAGGAGGCACAGCGACGGCGGCAAGAGCGCGGGGGAGCCGGGGAAGGCACGGTCGCGGCTGTCCACACGCCGGCGACTGGCGTGCGGTGGCGCTGGAGGCTCGGGCGCCGGTGCGGGATGGACTAGAGCAGAGAAAAAACCAATGCAGATGGACAAACCGAGGCAGACAAGGATGAGACGCTAGCTTCACTGGCCAAGGCAACAGGGATGCTGTCAAATGGGTTGCTTGGCTTGGTACCGAGGCAGTCCAGAGACAAGCAAGGACTGAGCGAGTGCAGACGAACACGTTGTCCGGTTGGCGTGGAAAAACAACCGAAGACAGACAAGACAAGCGAAGCAGAGTGAGAGCAGCAGCTTTGATTGCTCGACGTGCCAGGCAGCAGCAAGTCGTGGCCAAGGCCCCTCCAAAAGCAGCACGTCGATTGCTCAGCTCGAAGAGCAATTTCAGAATTCAGAATTCAGAGACAGACACAGACGGGACAGCAGAGGCATGGTGCCAGGACATGGGATAGTGCAACACAGCAGCGTTCAATGATGTTCATGAGCTTATTTAAAAGTTTTTAAGCACTAAAGAAAAATTGATTAGCACTACTTATGTTGATTTTTCTCAGCCACAAGGGTGAAGTCACAAATGGTTCGTTTATCATTTCATGATCATAAAAAAACTTTAATATTAGAGAAACTCGTTTCGAAGGTTTTTACTGAGGCCTAAATCGCGGCGCTAAAAAGAATCGTAACACCAGGGTGTTTCAAGCTATGCTAACCAACTAAAATGTACCAATTCTTGAAATGAACCTTGCTAATATTAACCGACTGAGGTGATGCATGCCCCTAAGTATAACTTTGGTAATATTGATAACCTTCTTAATACTAACCAACTAAGGTGATGCACACATTGTTTCCATAACAACCACTGAGGATAATGAGCATACTTCATTATGTAGCTCAGATATTTTCACACAATGGAATGATCTTGCACATGTAAAGTGAAGGGACCAACAACAATAAATGTCATAAGCATGTCTATCAGAATTTTGCACTTTTGCACAAAGTGTAACCATTGCTATTGCAAATTACCTAAACAGAAGCTTGTATATCAACGGAACGAAGTTTGGCCTCACAAATATAAGAAACCGCTTCGCTGACAAATTTGCTCAAATTCACACTTTTTAACTCATCCATT